GATATTTCTGCTATATCAATATCATAGGCCTAGTGCTTGGGACGATTTTATGTGATGTGCGAGATGGAGATCAATTCTGTATGAATTCTGTGATTTTGGGCGAGATAGATGCAGATGAACGGTTAGGCGCGAGATACAGGGAAATAGATTTGATAAAACAACAAATAGACTAAGATATTGATATATGAGTCAAGCATGTGATGTCACTGGTTGAGGTCCCATGATATTGATATATATATAAAATATATTTTTTAAAGATTGCTATTGATGTATTTCTTTTTTTTTTTCTTATTGAAGATTCTGTGCATGCAAATTGAGTAGGTAGGTGTAGGAGATAAAAATGAGTATTTGATGGGTATATATGTGAGAATCTCACAGATATTGGAGAACCGAACGGCGAGGGCTGAGTGCAGCGGACGATAAGGGTTGTGGGGGACGGTAAGAATCTCACAGATATTTGATGGCATGTTTGCTTAGGAGACGTGTTTTTGGTTTGGGTGGTTGACCTGTGTGAGCTCGAGTGTGAGCGCGTATTATCTTTTTAGGATCGGTTATTCTCCATTCTTGGAGCTTTGTAGTTGTTTTTTGTTTAGTGTTATCGTGGTGTTGGTTCTAGCGTTGCTAGTGTGGTCTCTAGGCGATTTCTAGATCTGTCCTCCTAGTTTTTACCTTGTGCTGCTTTCATTTCGCATATTTGTGCGCTTTATAAAATATTTATTGTTCTGAAAAAAAAAAAATCATATTTGAAATATCAAAATAATCAATGACTTTCAATTTAATATTCATGTTACATATATAAATAAATATTTATTATAATATTTATTGGAAAATAATTAAAAAAACTATTGTAATATGAATTCTGAAAATATACAGTATACATATGAGAAACACGAAGTCTAAATGACAAAAGCTATTTTAAATATTAATAATAATATGATTGTTATGAATTATTTTAAATAAAAAATAAAAACTTCACTTTTACAAAATATATATGTAATTTTTTATTAAGATCCAATTAATATACTTATGTTGTTGTCGTAAATTAATTAAATCAAATTATTTGATTACCAATAAAAAACACGAATTACAACATTCAGAAAAATTGTAACATATATAGTATTTGTCTAACAACTTCTCAAATGCAAAATCAAAGTTGAATCCCCCAAGCAAACTCGACCTGTAAATTATTCTCATAATGAGAGGTAATAAATTTTGACAACAATTCAAAACTCAGTTCTCCATCAAACCCAACATACAAGTTCAAATGGGGTTCCACTCTAAAACCAATTGGCAATAGAGAGAGTAGCCCACTAAGCTTATATATTGAACTTGAACCCATTAATTTTCCGATGTGGGA